ACTGATAATGATGGTTGTGGTTATGATCCTGTCTACAGTCGCTTAGCTGGACCACCACGGGGAATAGTCATCTATTTTTTTAGCCTCTGTGGGCGCAACCCAGCTTGCAGATAAAGCACTTGGCAAGAACTGAACATGAAAGCGTATCTTGCTCTCAGAAACCATGGTAAAACTTGCAGTCTGGCTGACAGTTGTTGTGGCTGATAGCTCGACTCTGCAGCCCCTCTGTTTTGCACTGCAAGAATGACTTTATGACTAATATAATGAAGTTTTTCTATCTTGAAACAACAGTGTCGCTTGACTGTTAATTGAATTATACTCAAATCATCATTCCAGTATTTCAGAGTTGCAAAAGGATTGCACATTATGTCACACATGGTAGTCTTCAGCTTTTACTTAAATGTTTTCACAGCTCATTATTCTGCTTGCTGTTTCTGTTGCCAAGGTTAAAGATTACACTACTATTATTGTCAGAATTAATTATCCTTTTAACAGTGGGAATATGAGGGTCATGGATAGGAATATGTTAGAGTTATGAATAAGTTTTTAAAACAAATTTATTTTGGCAAACAGCGATCTGAGAAAGTCCAACAACAAACAAAGTCTAATGTGGAAAATATTAAATAAATAGGATGGGGACTCAGTAGTTTAAAGTTTCAACCATTTTGAAGACCAATGTTGTAACTTTGGTATTCCCAGACTATCAAACTATCAGACTATCCAGAAAGCAAAGTGTGCCTATTAACATTTAAATTACAATAAATAAATAAGTGAAAATGGATAAAGCCGTTATGAAAAGCACTCTAAATCACCAGGGTGTTGCATAAGAAAAGTGGCTGAAAGCAGCATTTTGTTTAAGTAAGTGCATGTCCACAAGTCTCCCAGTGAGCCACACTGACCAACTGGAAAAAATCAGCAAGCTGCCTCCAGACAAACTGTGGAAAGAGCGAGAACAAAAAAAGTCAAGTAATGTAAGAGACTAAGAACAACAAGGTACGCTCTAGTTATATATATATATATATATATATATATATATATATATATATATATATATATATATATATATATATATATATATATATATATATATATATATACAAAAAGAGATACTTAAACACCTGGGGAACTAGCTTTTGCTGACACTTCTGTCTGTTTGATGGTCTATCCGTGTGGGTATGCCTTTCAGTGTCTTTGCATAGGCGATATAAAAGCAGCACTAAGGACTAAATATGAAAGGCTGGTGACACTGAAAATAAACTTTTGTCTTGTATGTCATTGTGGTTTAATCAGGTTTTCCAGATTATAAGGTTTATTCTTATAAGATTAAAGTTATAAGTAAAGACATTATAACACAGCATTTACTAATGATGACACACAAAAAAATCCCAAACAGACATTAAATAATGGCATACACAAAATTGGGCACACACAGAGTATGAACGTGATATCTGCTACCCTTTGCTAAAGCAAATACAAATCAAATTCCACTGAAGTTTCTTTATTTTTCATATATTTTTATTCACAATTTCCTGTGTTTTAGAACAAGAGTGTTAGCTATTGCTTGCTTTGGATATATTTAAGGTTTATTTGGAAATTTGGTAAAGTATTTAAAGATTATGGACTAAACAAATGCCATTTTTGAAATACGCTGACTCAGGGGCTCTTGTTCTCACAGGGATTATCCCTATTGCTGATTACTGGGATATGGTTAGTTGTTATGTATATACACACTTCATTGTCCTCTCTGATTAAGGTCGCCTAGAGCCAAAACTTGGCAGCAAGGATAAAAGCAGCATTGATCTAAGACTGACTAATAACTTTATCATACTTCATCCTCAGACTGTATTTTTTTGTGATCAAGTATCAGCCTTTGGCTTCAGTCTTCAATAAATAAAGTATTGAAATGTACTCGAGCCCTTAAAAAATCTCATATATATATAAAAAATTAAAAAAAAACTTCGTTATTTAATTAAACTAATTTTTTTAGTGTTTGGGAACATTAAACCCGAGCAAAGTGGTTACTTAGTGAACAATTACACCTACATAATTATGTATGTATACATTTTTGACTGATTCGACACCACAGTTTGGGGTGTGTGGTGATATCTGGAAGTGATCTGATACCAATGCTAAGTCTTTTTTTAATTTTCAAATCAATAAACTGTCATGTTGATGAATATAACAGATGAAAAAAGCCACTGTTCTAAATTTGGACTGTTGCACTAAAATAAATATACCCCTGCCACTTGATGCTGATGATTAGAACAGTTCTCCTCTAACAGTAGAGACGAATGAGAGGCAATGACTAAATTACTACTATGAACGCCAAACAATACACTTCTGAATTGTAATTCACTTGAAAAATCAGCATTTGTGCAAATGGACGCGAGTGTTTAAGTAACATTTGACAAAGTGATAATCAGTCAGACTAAAATATACGTCAGCCACCACCATGAAGTTTGTGAGAAAAAGAATTCAAACAGTGATAACACAAATTATTGGGATTTTCTAACACAGTACAAAAGATGATGTCTGTGGCAGATCTTAGACTAGAGGATAAAAAATATACACTCTCTTAGCAAACAAGTTGAAAACAGAAAAACAGCAGAGGAAGGTAGGGGGAAAAATGAAATTTCAAAAAGAAAGCAATGGGAGCTTTATGTAGTAGACTTATGGCAGGTAGCAGATGTATTATTTCTCCAGACTTTTTCTCTGTGGTCTATGAAAAAGCCCACACTGCTCTGGAGGAGGTGGATATAGAAATGTGTTTGCCTGGAGGCTACAGTATTGCTTTTCTTAGTAAAAAATCCTTACCTTTGGCTTTTTAAGGACAGCGTTTGAAAAAGAAACTAAAAAGTTCACAGTCTCTTCCGCTTATTTATGAGATGGCGGGAGAAGGACTGAAAAGAATGGCGAGGGACTTCACACGAGGGCAAATTCATTATATATGTCACTCCCATAACATCCTCGTAAACAATTCTTTGATTATTTGCCACAATAACAAATCTAAAGCATTACTGAAAATCTGATATTAAATCCCACAGAAACAAACATTCATCTTGTCTTTATGTTTCCTAGTATCCATGTCACCACCCACACTAAACATGTGCATGCACTCATGACAGAGAAAAGCTGCTTGCATAATAAAATGCCAGCGCTCTCTTTTTTATTAAAGAGTAGACAACGAAGGATGAGATTTAAAATCTGTTGCATTGCCTAAACCGGATATGCAGTGGTCCTCAGTAGATGCACTGTTCCCTTGACAAGCTTAATTATCATCTTATCTGTGCATTTACTGATGAAGATTTTGATCATACTGGCAAGTGTTTCATTTGCCCCCTGGTTGAATAGGTAGTGGTACCAGATAACAGCTATTACACTTGGGATCTTACAGTGTAGAAGGAAACCACATCAAATTTGGTTATGATGAAATACAATTTCCCTCAAATGTTAAATTGCCCAAGGTTTTTTTTAATTTAAAATATGACTTTGGACTGCTCATGAATGCTCAAGTTTTTCATGTATTTTGAGACTGTGAATGATATATTTAAATTTTCAATACTAGTGAATGTGGTAGATGCAGAATATTTGTACCTGACTTATTTTGGGAGTTTGTTACATTTGTTGATTATATAAATAAATAAAACTATGCAAGATCTTAGTGTGAATAGATTTTCTTTTGGCTGTTGTGTTTAGATGTAAGGAAAAAAAACATAGTATCTAGTCAGCTAAAGCTGTCATTCAGCTGAGTAATAAAATAATTAATAACTCACCTGCAGTTGTCTCATTTAACAAACTCTCCTTAAACTTAGAAATTAGACATATCAAGTGCATGATGTTACAAAATCATCTGTAAAGATTGCAAACAAGCTGTCTAGAAACGGCTTTTTAAAAATTTGGATTATTACATGCAAATTTTAAGCCAAATTGAGTATTTAAATATTGCATTCTTTCTTTTATTCTTAATTAAAGAATGCAAATCTTCATCAGTCTTAATAGCCTCAATCGAATTACTTTTGCAATGAAGACTTCACGCTAACTTGTGGAGATTTAACCACTAGAGGCGCTGTAGAACACTCTCTTTAAAACTGGTCACACCTGCTTTGGCCATCTGTAATAACTGCAGTGATTATTGGATTATTACATTATATCCCATCATGGGATATTTTAATATTGTATTTTTGTACTTCGTTAAAATTCTGTAAAATTCTGCGTTAATAGGGTCAGTTTAATTACTTTTCTAATGGAGACTTAAAGCTTCCTTGTGGAGATTTCACCACTAGAGGCGCTGTAGAACAATGCATTTAAAAACTGGTCGTTGTGACACAAATAGTTTCTATGGTTAATGCAGAGAGTATAGTCATGCAAATTTATAAACCATATAAAGAAAGAAATGCATACAAAAATAATAAGAAATGTAGATTACAATGTAGATATTAAAACATTGAAATGCATTAAACATAATTTCAAAAAAAAGAAACATTGGTTAAAACTCAACTGAAATAAATGCCAGAAATGATATGAAAAATACCAGAATACATTTTTACTACACACACTGGAGTTTGTGCCATTCACCTCGACTTTAGTATTTGGATTTTCCTTTAGCAGTTTTATGATTTCTGCTTGAACAGATTAACTGTTAAAGTCGCTTTGTTCCATTTTCATGTGATCTTATGTCAGTTTCCCAATAACCAAACAAGTGACATTACAGTATATCGTTTTACGACGGGTTTCATGATGTCGACCGAGCGGTTACTTGGGTTTACTGTGTAAATGCAATCCTGAGATTACAGCAAACTTTCGCTTTAAGAATCTGTGTTTTTGATTTCGCTCGAGTAGTACATTCAGTTTGGTACTAACTGTGTAAATAAGTGTGATTACAGTGTGTGTCACTTTAAGAGTCAGTCTTCGGATGGCTTCTTGATATTAATAGAGCTGCTGTGTCTTCCTCCTCTGACGTAATGCCCACAGCCTACAGAGAGACAGGCAGAGAGGTCCTGTCACAGCAAAGCGATAACACTAGTCTGAAAAAAAATTACAGATTTTTCAGCTTATCTACTTTTGTTTGCTGTGCCCAGCAAACCCATCCACGGCTGAATAACATAACTATACCTTCGGAATATTGCAATACCTGAGCCAAACTCACTCAGTAATGAGTCGGTATTAGCCTAGTTTCATGTGCTACCGCGAAGCCTTAACTATCTCTCTTTCCCTCTCAGACCAAAGAGGAAAAAAAAGAAAAGAAAGAGAGAGACAGCCAAGACACAGTCACCCCGTCCGACATCATCAACAAACAAAAACCCCACAAAGAGACGAAGCAGCCAGCCAAGCAGCCAGCCAGCCACCATCTTAACAGGCTGCTGAAAGAGACACACACAGAGAGAACAGAGGCTAATGCTTATTTTTGATCAACAGGTAAGCAGCACCAAAAGAAACACTTCCAGCACAAATGCACACCATGCATACAGCCCTCTCTGTTGGTGCAGAGGCATTGTAAACGGCAAAAGAAGAAGAGAGAGAGAGTGAGGGAAAGCAAAAAAATGCATCGGCGATGAACGCTTTGGAGTTGTACACGGCGAAATGCATGCTCTCGGACAAGTGGGAAGATGTAACGTGTTCGTCTTAAAAGGGAAGCCGTGTGCGATTAGGAGGCGAAATATCGCTCTGTTAGCTGTTGGTAGTTTTACGACGGGCAGCAGTCGGTTTGCGTCTTATGTAACTAACGGCCTGAGCGGCGTCGGTAAGGAAAGAGGGATCTGCTGAATGAGAGAGAGGGAAAAGAGCAGCACCGCTTTGAATTCACATGGCAATTTACATTTAGGTTAGGACACCCAAACGCCACACAAATACAAATTGGGGGGCTACTGGGGGAACCGCTCTGATTTTAAGACTGAGTTTGAAGCCAGCAACAAGGGGACGTGGAGTGACTTAGTCGCCTCAAGTAGGTTTGTGTATTCTCCTTTCTCAAAGTTTTGTTTCTTGATTTTATTTATTTACGTATGTCGCGTCAAGTCACGTTAAATGACACCGATTTCCTAGAAGCCAGTGACTTGGAGTGATTTATTTATTTTTGTGTCAGCACAGGGTAACTCTTGTAAAACTGCACGCTTACCTCTTGGTTATTTTCATTGATAACTTTTTTTTTTTCATTGCTATTCTGACTGCAAACTTGATACTCAAGTTCAGATTTCTTGCTTCTCTGAATGACGCACGTCGCAGAGACACAGAGACGGACAGAGAGAGGGGGGAAAAGGGGGTTTTGAAGCCCGAAAGATGAACGCAGTTAACTTGCTTGTTGTTTTCTGGACTTAAAGCGGAAAGAAGCGTGAGTCCACATCACAGAGATTGCGTTTATCAACCGGTTCAAAGACCGTTTGGCGCTGTTTGTTTGTTTGTTTGTTCTTATGTTGTTTGTTTTGCACCTCTTTCATTGTTAGGAAACTCGCGAGCGCATGGTGGATGTGAATTGTCGTAAAGGATACCCCCCCCCCACTCCTCCTCCTCCTCCTCTAACCCCCCCTCCCCGATCATCCTCTCTCTTATCAACTTTTGAAGAAAACAAGTGCCTCTTAGCTCAAATCTTTGCGAATTTATTGGTTTCCTCGCTGTTGGACGTTTCACGAGTGATGCCGGGAAGGCATGAGTTGCATTTCCACTTAACTTTGAAAAAGTTTCCCCCCCCTCTCTTTCTCTCTCTCGCTCTTCGGTCGTAAGAAACTGTGATGTTCCTTTGAGATAAGGGGAGCTGGGTAGGCATGACAACTCTGTGGGGAGAGCAGAGTATGTGAAGCCAGCACAATGAGGCACACACTGCAAGGAAGCTTTTTACATAGTCCTTCAGCAGAGTTCTCCAGTTCTGGCCCCCAAAGAACCCCTTATGCGTGGAGCAACTTTTATTCAGCAGATAACCTCAGTGGGCTTTTTTTTTTTCACCCCCCCCACTTCTTTTTCCTTAAAGAAAAGCAAGACCCTGAGACTTAACTGTGACACTTGTTCACAGCTGTCTGAGGTTACACTTTGTTTTTTTATGAAGCAATTAATTTATTCATTGGGCCCTTTCAAAATTGTCCCACAGCCCTTTAAATGTAGCTCCATGGCATTTCAGCGTTAAGCAGAAAATGCTTAAAAGCCACTGCAAAGACTTTAAAAAGCAATTTCAAGTTGATATCTTGAGTTTTTATTTGTATCTTAAATGCCCAACTTCTTGGCCACGACACGGTGGAAAAGTTTCACAGTCGTTTCCCTTCAACTCAAAACTGTGTGGACCGTTTGAGGGGGAAAAAAGTAAAATAATACAACTTGTGAAACTTTTAAGGTTTAGTTTGCATTTCCCGCAGCAGTCTGACACACGGCTGATTCTGAAACTTCGAATATTGAGCATTTGTTTGGACTTCTTCAGCAGAAAAGCCGTTCCTTCATGCACGAGCGATTGGCAGCATCGTAAGTCACACGTATTCTGTAAGATATGGGATTATGACAGATTATTTTTACTTTGGGGGGAAAAAAAGTACATTAATGTGATTTAATCAGCTTCATGGGTAACATTTTCTAGCAGTGCTTTCACATCTGCTTTCCAGTGCATGCATGCATAACATTGGTGTTTTTTTTTAACAGTTCCACAAATTCCAGTATGCGCAATCAAGTTTGTCTTCTGCTCTTTATTATAGTGAAAAAGTCTGAATGGGACGATTCAGTTAGTTTTATCACAGCACATAAATAAACTTGGATGAAGTGATTTTTATCAGAAAAGAAATCCTACTTTAAATCTTTTTTAAAGATGAAGGTAACATTTTTATGCCATATTGTGTCACTATATCTTTTTTGCTTTAGATCCGCTACACTTCAGCTTTGGGTATAGTCGCTGCAGACAGTCCAAACCCCCCCTCACCAAAAAAGAAAAACAAAAAACGTGTTCCTATAACCGAAGACATCGTGCATGTAATGAGTCCCTGTCAAACTTTTTATAACTTCAACCAATGTTCTGTAAAATTAGTTAAAACACTTTATCCGCCGATGTGTCAATCCAGCTCCGTAACGTTAAAACATTTTCCGCTCTCCAGACACTGGATATTATTGTATCGTACAGCTTTGTTCATAGCCGCTATTAAATGTCAAAACAGTTGAGAACTTCCTAAAGAGAACCCCCCCTGCTTGTAAAACTCATTCCCGTGTGTGTGTGAGACAGAGCGGGAGACAGCGCAGCACTTTTTCCTGTGCGTCTGTATGTGCTGTGGAGACAGCCGTGGCTTCGCTCATATGGCTGCAATATGTGAAGTCTCTCTGTGGTGGAACTCGCAACAGAGAAAGTTTGTAGAGACGGGGAGAGAGAGGGAGAGAGAGAGAGCACACATGGAGCGAGGGAAGTCAGAAATGTCCTGTTCAACTAGCTGGAATGTATCTCCTGTGTTTTATTGATGGTTTGATGTTCTGTAAGACATGAGGAACAACTGTAGTGATTTTGTGGGCTGCCATGCATTTGTCTTTGGTCGTTTCAAAGCGGTGCCGCATTACATGGGGGGAAAAAAGGCCAGTGCGAAATGGAGTGTAAAGGGAGACTTTAACTTAGAGCAAGTGGGTTTTTTTTGAAGTAGTGATTAAACTGGTAGACGTGTGATTGATTTTGTTGATCCAGGGAAGCTGTACAAACCTGACGCGGCTGTGAATTTTCCAAAGTAAAATCGACAATCTTGCCTACCCTAAAAAACGTTAATAGGATTGATGCAAGTTTGTAAAACTTTCAGCGAAGCCCCCGCTGTTTCTCCTCTACAGTAAAAGCTTTTCGGGGGGAAGTAAAGTATGTTTGCCTAACGCTGAGGTCTAACACTACTAAAGGGAATGCAGTGTAATAATTTGACCTCTAATCCGTTGTTGCTGTCTCTCTCCTTCTGGTCCGGACTGATGTGCGTCCTTTCTCCGAGCTTTTGCGGCATTTTGTTAAACTGTACATCATAACTAACAAAGAGCTGATTGTAGTAATTTGTAATTGTAATTGTAGTTTTGTTTTAATATTGAATAGTTTAAAAAATAGATGTTGACCTGTTGACCACTACGAATCAGTCTGTGAGAACACTTTTTCTTTCACTTTTTGCAAATTTTAAAAAAATAAGGAAACTCTTTCTTAAATACTTTATGGCAAATGTTGAACTACTCCCAACATTCACTGTTTCCAATAGCAGGAAAAGATAGCATCTATTAGAGATTCAGTCGTTATTCATCTCGAGCCTGCCTGCAGTTCATTTAAAGGAAACATCCATTTGTCACTGATAGTTTACTTAAAGAAAAACAAGGCTTTCTGTAAGGCTTCTGGCTCTTTGGCTCAGAGTTCTCTAGCTAGCACATTTTTTTTGTTTTGTTTTTTTTTTATTAACAAGTCTTCTGTTTTGCTCATATCCTCAGGACACAATTGTTTTTAAATTATTTTACTGTGTGTGCATATTTTGGGTCTATTATTGCTTATATTCAGTGCTTGCAGCATTGGTTATACAGGGATTTGAGCTTATTCTCTCGTTGCATTTACTGGAAGTCAGTCTGGAAAAGAGTGTCTGCTAAATGCCCAAAATGTCATCCCCACTCTGTCTGTGGTTACTGCAGTCTTGTTTAGGCTTGACTTTGTCTCTAATGTCTTTGGTCTATTTTAGACTTTTAAGTCTGTCTTTTTAGACCGCCTGCTTCAGATAACGAGCACATGGTCTTGGTTTAGGGTGAAATGATTCTTTTTTCTCTCTTAGTATTTAGATTTATTTGGGGGTGGGGTGGAGGGGGGATACGAATCCTAAATATGGGGCATTTTTGCCTTCCTTTGATCTAAGATAATAAAAATCCTTCTGCCACGTTACTGTAAAGACCGATGAAGTAGTGGGGCAGAAGATTAAGACGTGTACCCGCCGAAAGTAGTGATAAAGCAGCAGTACAGCCCTGTGGTTATAAAGGCTTTCCTGTTTCCAAAAGACGCGTAACTTTTAAACTCACAGACACCATGCGAATTCCCGTGCATCACTTAAATGTCTCAACTGTGCCGTAGACAGCAGTTGTTCTAAATCTGTCTTTCCCATGATCAGACTTTAATTACGAAACCCATCTTTGGCTTGTTAGTTGTGTCAGGGCAGTTGGTAAATGAAACCTACAGGTTGAGTGAGTGGCGAGCCCTGCCTGCTTTGACTCAGCAGTATCACACTGATGCCTCCCATACACCCGTGCGTTCAGATATCAATCACATTTCATTTGAGCGTCAAAGTTGTGCAAAACGCTGTGGAACATTTGATCCAACCCTTTGATAAATGAAGTTCTAAACAAGTTCCAAGTTAAAAAACAAAGAGCTCACATGCTGCTCTATAAAATATGTACATCAAGTATGGAACATTGTTAATTTTATTCCACAAAAGTTGTTGAACATTTCAGATGTTGGAGAGATTTGA